TGGCTGCTTTAATCTTCACAATAATGCATATGTGCTCTAAAGTATGCTCCTGGTCTCACAGAGTCTTCTCTTCCTGTCCAAGTCTCCACTTTGGGAGGCTTCCAGTCTCTTCGAAGACATCTTTCCCCTCCCATTTCCAAGCTCAGTGTGTGTGCGCATGTGAAGTGTGCACATGTGCACATGCAGACAACAGGAAGAGCATGGGGTCTGTCTCTGCCAGGGTAATTCAGCAACAGTTCTGGGTCTTACATAAAGACCATTTGTGGAAAACAAAATTGGACATTTGCCATCAACTGGGAAGGCAAGAACAGAGCAAATAATAACTAAGTGGTAGGAAACAGGGCTGCAAGTTAGTGAGAGAAAGGAAGGTTAATACTAAGGCAGAATTTGTACATGTGGCCTTAGAAAATGCAAAGGATGTCACAGATTTCATCCCATAAAGACCTCATGAAATACCTTGGGACAGTCTGTACCGTTCTTCGTCTCTAGCTGGGGATGTTGGTCCCGGGACTGATGGACAGCAAAATTTTTTGGCTTTTGAGCCTGAGCCTTCACTGATGGACTATTGATCTGTCTTTGAAAACCCTCTCTTCTCTTGAAGTCACCCGTGCCCTTTCCAAACTCTTTTAAAAGCAATCATTGGGAAATATCTCCTATGAGAGATCAACACCTCAGGATCATTCAGCACCGCTTTTCCTGCAGCTTCACACAGACAATTTGCATTGAAGTCCTTCATCTTTCACTTTAGAAAGAAAGCCTGGATCCATTTAAAATAATTTGGAATTAAAATGGAGTTTCCCCATCTCCATGGGGAGATCAGTGTTTTGAGTAACTGGGAGCATTTCCTGTATCTCAGTAGGTAAAAATGTTGGAAACTCTGAGTTAGAAGTTAGGAGAGGCATAGGTGTATTCAGTGTGTTGGGAAGGGCAAGGAGGAAGGCTAGGACAAGGAAGAGTCATCTATGTATAATGCCAGTCTCTATGGGTGCTTTGGACCAGGATAGGCAGAATGGGAGGAGGGACATCTGGACTGTGATGGCTATTGTCTTTTAGGGGAAGCTTGCTGAATATTATTAGGGGATTCATTTCATGCACAACATAGGACTCTCCAGTCCCAGTGATTTACTGTAAATCCTTCCAGGTATACTTTAAATCCATGAAGAGTATTTACAAATTGTACCTCTGTGGTATGCCCTTGTGATAAAATACTACACAGCAAGAAAGATAAATGAATTATTGAGACATGCTACAATGGATGGATCTCAAAATAATCATGTCAGGTGAAAGACGGCCAAGAAAATGAATATACACTATATAGTTCCATTCATATGAAATCCTAGAAAAGGCAAACTAATATAGAGTGTTGGAGAGATCAGTGGTTTCTTGGGAATGAGGGGAATGGATGAGGGAGAGAAAGATATACGTATGTCAAAATTTATCAAATTGTACACTTCATGTGGCATCTATTATCTGCCTATTATAGTTCAATAAAACTGTAAAAAGACAAAAATAAAAATTAACCTCTTCTCTTCCGGTCCAACTAAGATTAAGAAATTTCCTAGTTGAGCAGGTGGTGAGGCCCCCATCTATTTGAAGAACTAAAATCATCAGAAAAGTAAAGATACGGAGAAAACTGGATCAGCCAAAACTCTTCTCCAGAAAGATTATTATATGTGGTTGAGAAGCCACTTATAGTGGAAATAAGCTGAGAGCCAAGTGTAGGTGAGAGCAGAAGCCTTCTAAAAAGCCTGGGAGTGGCTAGAGGAGTGTTTTCATACTGCAGAGTGGGATATGCAAGTCTGGGCCAGAGCAGAGATTCTGAGGGTATGGGAGAAGGGGCTGTCTGCTTCCACCCAGGCTCTTTGTTTTCTGTTCTTCCCTCCTTAGTTTCTGCTCTCGATACATTCTGAACAGATATTTAAAGAACATTGCTTTGAAAATAAAATAAAGAACACTGCTTTGAAGGTACACCAAATTACTAGTCTGCTGGACCCCAGTCCACAGCCGAGTGTTGAAGGAAGCAGAGCAAGCCGTCCTCCACAGGCATTCGTCTTTCTGACCCCTTGGGGGAACATGCAGTCAGATTTCTGAAAGAAAGGGTGCTTCAGAAGTCATTTTTGTAGCAAAAGGATGCATAATACTTGGAAGAAAGTCGCAACTCACAAGGCTGGGGCAGGAGGAACACGGACTTACACTGTGAAGTCTGGCTAACCTGACACCCTTGCAGAGGGCACGAGAGGGAAAAAGGTAGAAAGAGGGAAGCTAACCTACCAGAAACAGGGCTACAGCAGTGCCCAGGATGAAGCCCGCAATCACGTCGGAGCAGTGGTTCCGATACTCAGAGACCCGATTAAGGCCTGTCAGGAAGGCTGTGCAGAGGGTCCCAAGGCACAGCACTGGTTTAGCCAGCCGACTGCTCTTTGTCTTGATTGTGCTTGTGATGTACATCTGGAACAGGACAGAGACCAGCAAGTGACAGGCAGCCTCCTTGTGCGGTGCAAACACATACATGCACAGACGTGCACCAGCACATGCAACAGGGGCCGCGCCCAAGTGGCCACACTGACTAGTTGAACAATTCCACGAAGTCAGGTAGGAAAGAATTTGGGTGGGAAACCAGTGCAGCAAGAACAATGAATGGCCGTCTCCTAATCATGTTTTGTGTTCTAGTGGGCCCGTAAACAGAAATAGCGATGCAGAGAGTGACCGCATAACGAACATCAGAGTGTGCAAGTTTTATGCAACAAATTAAAGAATCACTTGGAGTATAAGGAAACCCACATAGAATCTCAGATACCGAAGAAACCTTCTGTGAGAATGAATTTTATGAAAGAGAAGGCCAGGTAGGCGAGTGGCTAATACGTTTTACTTTTGGGGTCTCCCAGAGTTCTAGCTGATTCTCCACACTTGTGAGCAACAAACACAAAAGCATTGACTGGTTAGTTGATTGGCTGCATTAGAACTTCCAGATGGGTGTGTCACACAAACAGGTTTCAGTTGTGCTAAATTCTCACGTTCCTTGGAACAGCTGTGATCGGCTCTCTGCATTCATTTACTCTGGTGTTTAAATTTTTAAAAAATGTTTTATTTCTTTCTGAGAGAGAGAGTGCAAGACGGGAGGGGCAGAGAGAAGGGGACAGAGGATCTGAAGTGGGCACTGCGCTGACAGCACGAGTGAGTCTGAGTGAGGCTGGAACTCATGAACCGCAAGATCATGACCTGAGCCGAAGTTGGAGGCTTAACCTACTGAGCCGCCCAGGTGCCCCTACTCTAGTCGTGTTTGAAATTATTGAACTCTATGTGTTTTAAAATATCAAACTTTCCTATGGGTTCCCCGACATCCAAAAGGTTGGGAAAGGAGTTCCTGACCTGAGGAAAGGATGATGTAATTTATGGCACCTGAGATGTGGGCTGTTCTTATCTATTGTGAGGGGCTTGGCAACACTCTTAAAGTTTCATCGGCTCAGTTATCAAATGTGTGTCTGGTGGCCCAGAGCCTCTTTCGAAGAAGTAAACACGGTTCGATCACCTGTGCAATGGTTATAAGAAACCACTAGAGGGCATTACTGATCCATCCCATCATTTCTTTAGAACCGATAAGTGAATTTGCAACTCTGAGAAATAGTATGCTAATACTTACAGTCTACAGTGTGTTTGTATGGCCTGAGCACATACAGGTTCAGTGGATGCATTTTACAATGTTACAATGGAAACTTTTACTTTTGTAGAATGATGTTTCAACAGTGGTGTGAATACAGAAGATGGAATTCTCTATCACATGTAATAGATGACCTACGAAAGTATGGTTTGATCAGTTACAAAAATTAGAGCACATTACACCATTCTGGGGCTGTATAGGAAATGTTACTTAACATCTACACTAGATATATTTAACTCTAATATTTTATCTTTTTATGTTGTTTTTTAATTATACCCTTTATCAGTCTTTCCTATAAGATTACAAACTATAAGAACAGGGGCTTAGGGTTAGTATTCTTCACGGTATTAACTAGTCCTTAGGAGATCTTTGTTGAGTAATTTCTGAAAGGACTTCACACATAACAGGGGCTCAAAAAATGTTCACACAATTGGAGTCTTGTATCACGGTTTATCTGATTATAGTCTGTGGGGCATGATTTGAATTGGATTATATCTGAACCCTTGAAAAACATCTGCTATTCTGAGCAGACTTTTTTCTCAAAAGAAATTTGTATCTCATTTGATGAGACAATAGATTATTATGAGTAACAGATTTATTTTTATAACGGTGTTCTACAAATTTCACACCTCAGTGGCTTGAGTTCGATAAATATGGGTAGGAAAAGGGTTCAGGAATACATTGCTTCATAGAACTTAGGCTGTAGATAATTTAGAACAAATGGATATTTTGAAAGTTGGAGAACATGCCAAATGCCTGAGAGGATTTTCTTTGTTTAAAGAATACATGGTCGGCCTGCCTATCTATCTAATCTATCTATCTAATCTATCTAATCTATCTATCTATCTATCTATCTATCTATCTATCTATCTATCTATCTAATCTATCTATCATAAAGCAAGGCTCACCAAGCTATGATTGATCTGTTTGAGGCTTCTATATTATCTAGGTGCATGTTTCCTAACATGGGGCAGCTGAAGTCATTTTTTCTCTCCTATTCATTAAAGAGCAGATTTAAAAGGAATAACTAGGAAGACTGATTTTGGGTAATTGGTGGTTGACAAATTCATCCTATACGTGTGATCTTGTGAATGTGATGCCAAGGAGCCATCTTTTTTTTTAATTTTTTTTCAACATTTATTTATTTTTGGGACAGAGAGAGACAGAGCATGAACGGGGGAGGGGCAGAGAGAGAGGGAGACACAGAATCGGAAACAGGCTCCAGGCTCCGAGCCATCAGCCCAGAGCCCGACGCGGGGCTCGAACTCACGGACCATGAGATCGTGACCTGGCTGAAGTCGGACGCTTAACCGACTGCGCCACCCAGGCGCCCCGAGCTATCGTTTTAAAGAGAATATTCAGCAGTCTACTTGACGCTGTACTGAGTAGACCAGACGTGTAGTCAGTCCCCTTCTTTCCACCCTGAATGTAGGCATCCAGGTGCTGGCAGGGACGCCCTTCAACCGGAGGCAGACTCTCAGCAGAGAGTGCAGTTACCCTCACTTGAGGGAGTGGGAACATGCTCTCCTGGGGGGTGGGGGCGAGTCTTGCTCAGAACCTCTGGGAAGAATGGATTATTTCAAAGGGGTCTTTCCTCTGCCTTCTACCTTCCCTTCTATTGAGACTCACTGGGCTAGTCCTACCTGGAACATGAAGTTCAAGTAAGGAAAAGATGTGTTTTTGACCAATAGTTGTTCTTCCCCAGGGAAATGCATAGGCTATCGGCCTTTGAGCTGATCCCTCTACTTCTGTGCTCTTGTCTCTAAGGAAGCATAGGCCAGAGAAAGGGGAGATGAAGTCATTTCCAAAATGGATGCAATTAAAGAGTAGGAAAGTAAAAGGGACAGCATGGTTTCTTCTTGTATTTTAAGATGTGGGACCCACTTTAGGTTTTCTCTGTGACGAAAGCAAACAATGTAGAGAGAACATTGTACACTAGCGGGGGCAGTCAAAGCCTGTAGGATTTGGGGAGCAGGGACACGTGAACTTTCGGGTGTTGGGGATCTGGTAGGATCACCCTTCTGTTCTGGGTAAACGGTGAAGAAAAGTGTCGGGAGGAGCAGAGGAAAGCTGTGTTTTTATCCCGGGTCTGTTGCACTACCCACGCAGCCGTTCACATTAACGCCCACACCTGCAAACTTGCAGGCAGGTGTGAGAAATGTATGCTGTCCTGGAACCAGTGGAACTTTGGCAAAGAGTGCTGTTGTGAGCAGTGGGAGGATCCCCGACAGGGTGCCAGAAGCCTGGGTCCCAGGTCTAACTGTGGGTTCTTACCTATTTCTCTGGGGCTCAGTTTCTGCATCTGTAAAATGGGAAGATTTGACTAAGAGATTATCCACATTCCCAAATCAATATCCTCTGGCAGCTCGGTATGTTACCCTGGGGTGTTGGGGCGGGGTGGGGGAGGCAACGGTATGGTGCTATGCAGGAGAAACATGTTGTAACAGGACTTTAAAAATCACTCTAAGTGACTGTGACAAAAAAAATGAAGGTGAGGAGGGCAGAGAGACATGTATCCCAGCCGACAACTCATCTTGGGAGTGCCGGCAAGACTGGGCTACTCACCGTGGCATATAAGGCGGAATAAATGCTCAGAGCGGCATGTTTGGAGGGAAAGGACCTCCGAGCCTTTTCTATCACTTCCATGTCCCCGGTACAAATGTTGCCATTGTTTATGAACTGGTGGTGTGCTCGGCAGTCTGTACTGGTGTAGTTCGGCTTGCACACTGTCAGGAAGTATGGGGTTAGGTGCCCCGTGACCACCTGTCCGGCGTTTACAAAAATGTCAGTAGCAAAAAGTCCGAAGGCAAATACCCCTACAAGGAGATTTGAAACGATTAGCAATGGTGAGGTGCACCGTCAGTTGGTTTTGTCCCTGAGAGGAAAACATAGCAGTGAGAGTCCATCAGAACCTACCAAAAATGATCTCGCCAAATTGTCTCCCCAACCTTTATCTTTGCAGGGAGTGGTGCCGCTTCCCAAATCATTATTCCATTCAAATTGATGCAGATATTCTGCGGTTAGCATTTTATCATTTTGTATAAACCAGAAGCAGCATGTTCTAATGGGAAGGACTAGATTTGGGCTCCATCCAGCCCCAACGTTGCTGACATTCACAGAAGTTATTTGCCTTCTCTGAACCTTGGTACCCTCAGTCACAAAATGGTCGGGGGGAGTGATACCTCTTGGGGGGCAAGATTAAGTAGGACAGGTACAAAATACTCCCTTTGGTGTCAATAGCTACTCAACATTAGTTCCTTTTTTTTTTCCTGTAGAAAATATATTCTGCCTGCTCATGTTTGGAAATGCAAATACTCTGAGGAGGGGATATTTATGACATCATGGCGGCTGAAGTGAATGAGGTTGTTAGGGAGTTATCCTTAAAGATAAAAAAGGTCATTCCAGAAACCTCGATTGAATTGGATGTTTCATTTGACAGTTGGGCAGAGAAAATGAGAAGAAAGGGAGAGTGTTAAAGAAAAATGTTGGTGACTGTATCAGTTTCATACAGCTGCTGTAAAAAGTTACAACAGAGTAGCTTAAAACAACACAAGTGTATCTTCTTAGAGTTCTAGAGGTAGGTTTCCCTGGGTGAAATCAACAGGTTAGCAGGATTGTTTTCCTTCTGGAAGCTTGAGGGTAGAATTCATTTCTTGCCTTTTCCAGATTCTAAGCTGTTTTACATTCCTTATCTGTGACCCCCTTCTAGCAATTATGTCACTATGACCTCTGCTTCCATTGTCACATTTTCTTTGACTCAGAGTTTCCTGCCTCCCCACCCCCCCGCCTTTTTTTTTTAAAGTTATTTATCTTGAGAGATTTTGAGTGAGAGAGAGAGAGAGAGCGAGAGCGCGCACGCAGGGGAGGGACACACAGAGAGAGAAAGATTTCCAAGCAGGCTCCGTGCTGCAGGCACAAAGCCCAGCGTGAGGCTCAAACCCACGAACTGTGAGATCACGACCTGAGCTGAAACCAAAAACAGGACGCTTACAGACTGAACCACCCAGGCACCCCTCCTGCCTGCCTCCCTCTTATAAGGACTTTTGATTACATTGGGTCCACCTGTCCAACCCAGGATAATCTCCTCAACTCAAAAGCCTGAGTTTAATCACACCTGTAAATTCCCGTTTGTCATATAAGGTAACAAATCCACAGTTTCCAGGGATCAGGATATGGACATTTTGGGAGAGGAGGGCATTATTCTTTCCGCCACACTGACTTTGCTGTTTGGCTGAGAATCCTGTGGGTAGGCTGTATTTCCTGGATTTTATCTGTCCTCTGGCAAATTCCACGGGATTAGTCCCAATAAGATTGAACATGGTAGGGCAGAATTCTTTATAGGAAGCTTCACTGTGAACTCTTTCAAAGCCTACACAGTACAGCTATAGATTATCAGTGCACTATTGTCTGTTAAAAATATCAAAGGGGGCTGTGCAGAGCCGAGGTACATACAAGTTACTTGAAAGGATAAAGACTTCCCAAATGCAGCTCAATTATGGGAGAAGTTGGCAAGTGTGAGAGTCAGCATTAACCCTTGTAAATGTCAAGGATCTGCTACAGTTTCAGTTAAGTTTCTACCCAGCTTTGACTCCCATATTCAATGTCCTCCATCTGCAAATTGTGCTGACATCAGCACTGAAAAGTTGATCCATTATAGCACAAGTGAAGACAAGTTTGGCTGAAACCTTCATCCGGTTTTCATTTTGATCTGTATTGATTGCTATAATTTTCTTTTTTGTGGCTTTGCCAGGATGTGCTTTATCACAATGAGAACTGGCTCTTTTAATAGCTTCAGCCAGCTCCCTCTCAGAGGGTCTGACCTCTGAGAGTAGGCAATCATTGATCATTCGTGGCAATTTTCGCCCCAGGTTCAGGAAGTCTGAATGGTTAGAGATTTTTTCTTTTTCTTTTTCTTTTTTTTTTTTTTTTTTTTTTACACCTTTAAGCAAGATTCTTAAAGACCAGGTCTCTGGCTTTTTCAAGGGGCAATAAGTCTGTCTGGGCATACTTTTCCAGGAAACCAGAGAAATTTATGATTTGAAAAAGGACAAGTGCCAGCACTTTCCTCTGGCATTTTATTTGTCAGAAGTGCTTACAATTAGGGCGGGTTTGTTCTTTCTGAGACAGGATTTCTAGGCTCCTAGGATGGGTGTCTGAAATGCCAGCTCTGTGGTCCATGGTGATTCTGTGATGGGCAGCTCTATTTATTGTCCTGTGATATTTTGCAGAAAGTTGCTTTCCCTCTTCTTTGCCTCCTTAGGCATCATCTCTGCTTCTCCTAATGGCTTAACAAGCATCTGCTTTCCAAACATTTCATTCCGGTGCATTTGATCTAGCTTCAGAAGGGCACAGTCACAGGCCACCTGAATGTCACAGGCCATGCCAACAAAGGGCGGCAGAACCTGAAGCAGCGCGATTCACAGACAATGTCCTATCACACGGGGCTTTTGTAAGACACTCCAGCCATTGCCCTTAACCCTGAGCTACTTGTCTGTATTTTACAAGCCTCAGAAGCTAACAATAGCTCCTTTTGTCCTCAGGGTCAGGTGGAATACCATTTATGGTCTCTGTATTGCAACGTAGGATTTGAAGGGTATGTTTTTAAAATGTCTATAGAACCTACCTGGGTGTCAAAAAATTCTTTAAGTGAGGTCATATTTTTGAAATTTTAACAGATACATTTTTCATTCCTATAACCCTCTCTAGTGGGTTCTATTTATCTTATGAATCTGCTCCCAGTAGTGTTCCTTGCTTCAGGGGAGCTGATCGCATTTATGAATGAATTTATAAGCTGACACAATAGCCTAAAAGTGAAGTGCTTTTGATTTGCCAGAGCTGTGTGCTTGAGACACTTGTTATTGTTGTTGCTTTGTTTGGAATTCCAAAAAGGCTTGGATGGGAAGACTGAGAGCCACCCTTGGGGGTGGGGGGGGGGGATGTGGCTGAGGATGCCGCACAAGGAGGCTGAGGGAGTGAAGAGGCACTCCCATGCTCCCTGCCTCACGCTGGCTGACAAACCCAGGGTCAGGGCAACAGAAGTCTCCAGAATGATTTCTGGAAATCCATTTGAAGTGTGTCCTATCCCTCTCAGGGTGTAGCTCAGGAGCTGCAAGCCTTTTAGAGAAGCTTCACACCCAGCACGGTATCAGATGAGGGTACCTGCATTAGCAACGGCAGAAGATCAAATTGGTGGAGCCCAAGGGTCTCCTCACAAGACTCCTACGTTCTGGTGTGGTGTGGGGTAAGCAGCTGTAAATTCCCACATCCCTAAGGGGTGACAGGCATTAGAATGCCGACAGGACCAAGAGGCTAGGAGGGCCTGAAATTAGGACAAAGAGATTGATCATGATGTCTGTGGTCCTTGTCAGGATGCCATAGATCAGCTAAGGAAACCTAAGCATGCCTCTTCTTTGTTGTTTGTTTTTTAAAGTTTATTTATTTATTTTGAGAGAGACACAGACAGCGCGAGTAGGGGAGGGGCAGAGAGAGAGGAAGAGAGAGAATTCCAAGCATGCTGCACACTGTCAGCACAGAGCCCAACGTGGGGCTCCAGCTCAGAACCATGAGATTGTGACTTGAGCTGAAACTAAGAGTTGGATGCTTAACCAACTGAGCAACCCAAGTGCCCCGGCCTCTTCATTGCGGTGTAAATATGACACCCATCAGGCAAGCCCAAGGATAAAGAAAGAGGAAAATGAAGGTATTAAAAAGTCCTTACTTTTTTCCTCAGGATTCTATCTGGGTCCATCTGATCTCAGTCTGTCCATGGACAAATTAGGGTCTTTGATCACTAGTAATTTGGGACACGGAGGTCACATTCTGGGACCTGGTCCCTACTATGGAATCATTACAGTATTCTACCCTTTCACTCAACCATGAACGTAGAAAAACAGTGACATAACCAGGAAATGTGCATGAGGAGAACCACCAAAGCCACAGATAATTGGCATGCTGGAAAAACAGGACTCCTACCAGGATACCATTAGGCCTTCCAAACAAAGAACTGGGAAAATACATAACCGGACTCCGTGGTATGAAGGAGGATGCTATTGCTTTTCACACAGGTGCCCTTCATTAGGAAACCTAGCCCCAGATAGTAGGTTGGGAACGGGGTGAGTAGGGGCTGGTGGGTGAGGGAAAGACTACATTCCTTTTAGCCACAAAGATCCTGTGACCTTTAGAGGTGGGGCTTCTAAATTGAAGGCCAACTGTTCTATATTCAATTATAAATGTGTAATTTACAGTTTAATATGGCACCTAGCTGACAGCCTCTGATGGAGCATCTCTCAATTGTCTACTAAAGTATACATGGGGCTTGTGAAAAAAGATGGAAACTCATAATGTCAGCCCAAAGGGAGAATCAGCAAGGGATTTCCATTGTCAATAAGTGACATGGAGCAAGTTTACTCTCTGTCTGTCTGTCTCTGTCTCTGTCTCTCTCTCTCTCTCTCTCTCTCTCTCACACACACACACACACACACACACACACACACACACACACACACAATTTTACTTCATGAAAAACTCAAGCTTCTCCTTAGAAAACAGAGATCAGGGGAGAAAACCTAGGGTGAGAATTCCTTTCTGTCCTACCATCTGGCCGCTGACTCAGATTCAGGCTTTAGATTACTCAGAAATAGGGCTGCAGTCACTCCACTGGATGAGGTCTGCTCTTTGAATTTATCTGAAACTCTCTCCTCTCCTTCTTCACTCTCCTGAATGTATTCAGAAACATAGTCATGGACAGCAACTCGGTGGGAAGTGGCAGGAGCACGGGCAGTAGTGTCTTCTAGGAGGAACACACCCAGACGGGCTC